CCAGCACAGCCTACGTCTCTTTGTCATGTATCAACCTCTTCATTGGCATCAACAGCAGTGCCATTACCTTCATCCTGGACCTGTTTGAGAGCAACACGGTAAGCCCAGTAGGTTTGTTTCTACCACTTCAACCAATTTTAATGTCAAACTTAATTAACAAAAAATAAATAAATAAAAAAATGTCAAACTTAATATTACACGTTGGGTTTCTATCTAGGCTCTGTATGGGTTCAACCAGCTGTTGAAGAGGGTGATGCTGATGTTCCCCCATTACTGCCTGGGCCGAGGTCTCATAGACATGGCTATGAACCAAGCTATAAGTGATGTCTATGCCCGCTTTGGTAATTATGAACCACACAGACTCATACCCCTCAAATACATGTAGCTATAAAATATCCTACAATGTCTTTTTAATAAAGAGGTCATCAGAAATCTCATACCATACATTTGCCACCATGACCCGAAGCAGCTGCAGTCTTGCTGCAAAGACTGCTTAGGCAACAAGATCCCCTGGAGCAGAATCAGCATTATTGCTATGCAAATGTGAACTAAAGATGCAACATGAAATATTAATGATGTGTATCTAACGGTTCATGCATTCCAGTGTTTTCCACATTACAAAGGCTGGAGAAACTTACATGAAAAGCACCAACTGGGAAAGTAGGATTTATAGGAATTTTGTTTCTACATTTTCTCAGGTGAGGACTACAGTCCAGATCCCTATAACTGGGATTTTATTGGGAAGAACCTGTTCTGCATGGGTGTTGAGGGATTTGTCTATTTCATCATTAATATTCTCTTCCAGTATTGCTTCTTCCTGAATAACTGGCAAGTAAATGTGTTATCAAACTTGTTAGATGCACATGAATAAATGCTATTTGAAATTTACACATGTGATGAAAGTCATTGTCCAGATAACACACCAAATCAAACCATGACTGAGTAGCAATTTTTTTTCCCGCTGGCAGGATACCCGATTGCCCAAAGCCTCACATTTTGGATGAAGACGTGGATGTTGGAGAGGAAAGACAGCGAATTTATCAGAGTGGAAAATCAAATGACATTTTACGTGTGAGAGACTTGTCCAAGGTCAGTGTTAGTCTTTATTAGGACACACTGTGGACAACAAAAAAAGAAAACTGATTTTGGAGAAAGATTTGAGTTTGAGCTTTATTTTTGTTCTGATGTTCTCTTACCAGACTTACACAGGAACAATTATCCCTGCAGTAGACCGAATCTGTGTCGGAGTATCACCTGGAGAGGTTTGTAGAGGTTTGGTTAAACTGATATATGGTACGGTATGTTACCTCTAAGGCTGTCTTTTTCTGCTTCCAAATATCCACAGTGCTTCGGTCTCCTGGGGGTAAATGGAGCTGGGAAAACCACAACCTTTAAGATGTTGACTGGAGACATTAATGTCACCTCAGGAGAAGCCTCGGTTGCAGGTCACAGGTTTGTACATCGCAGTTGTTCCGTGCTGAATTTGAGCATTGATGTCGAATACATTCAGTTGCTGATAATCGCCGTTGTTTTAAGTTTCTTTGATGCTGGGTGAAAAAGAAGGTTTGATACACTTCACCTATCTGCATAAATCTCTCACAGCATTTTGACCAATATCCTGGATGTCCATCAGAACATGGGTTACTGCCCTCAGTTTGATGCCATAGATGAGCTGCTGACAGGCAGAGAACACCTACACCTCTACGCTCGCCTTCGTGGAGTGCCAGAGTCTGAGATCAGCAGGGTGAGATGCAGAACTAGGTCTGACAGTTGATGGATGAAGTTTTATTGTGACATTATTTTGAAATGGGGAACTTTATCTTCTTCTAACTTAGGTTGCAGAGTGGGCCATCCAGAAGCTGGGTCTCTCAGAATATGCAGGTCACAGTGCTGGGACCTACAGCGGAGGTAACAGGAGGAAACTCTCCACAGCCATTGCAATGATTGGCTGTCCTGCTCTGGTGCTGCTGGTGAGTCCAACAATAACAGGATTAGTGGGTTATGAGTGGATATTACAGTTATAAGAATATTAAGCAGATAATGGACAAAATTCAAATGTGCCAAAGCTAATTTGTTTGTTGTTCCTGCACTTTAGGATGAGCCTACTACAGGTATGGACCCTCTCTCCAGACGTTTTCTGTGGAACTCCATCATGAGTGTTATTCAGGACAAAAGAGCCGTGGTCCTCACGTCACACAGGTAAAGCATATATTTTAACATAAACAAATACATATGGATAACTGACATATAAAGCAAAAAAATCTGAATGCTTGACTCCTACGTTCCACAGCTGTGTTATGCCGTGGGGGTTTTATGCTGACATGTTTCGTTGCTTTAGAGCAGAGATGTCAAACTTTACACTGTAGGCCACACTTTGATCTTAAATGGTCTGGTCCAGAGAAGCTCCACTTTTTGTCAGTGTAAAGAAGTTCTGCCATTTAATTATTTATTTATATTTAATTTCTTTGGTGTATGAAAGGCCAGAGAGCAGGTCTTCATCAGTAGCGAAAGCTGCAAAAAGGCCTAAACATATAAGCCCTCCTTCGCATTTTCCAAAGCTGTCCAGCGGGCCAGATTGAAGTCTTTACTGTGCCAATTCTGGTCCCCAAGCCTTATGTTTAACACCCATGCCTTAGAGGCATCTTCTGGTACAGTACCCCCAATAATAGGGCAACATGGGTTTAATACTCTGGGCTGTTTTCCCAGAGAAAATGCAGAAAGGAAGACGGAAAAGTAAATCATATGCCATAAGTCAGAGATAACCTTACTGCATTATTTTCCTTTGGATTTTGAATTCACACCTGGTGAATGAATTTTGTTTTTTACTCCATAAACCAATGCACAAAATCTCACTAGGAAGCAGGAAGTAATACGTTTGTCACTTAAAAATTCCTGCAGGAAAACCATCCACCCTACTGCTTTAAAGTCCCCACTCCCAGTGTCCAGATAATACACATGCCCTTTACAACTTACGCTGAGGCAATACTAGCAGTGTATGGTGTCCAAATAACTTACAAAGACACTTTTTCTTGTTCTGATCGTCTGATTTCTCCCCTGTCTCTCTGTATTATGTGTGTACACATGTGAGTGAGCACGGCATCTAATTGTTATGATTTTCTTTCCAGTATGGAGGAATGTGAGGCACTGTGTACGCGCTTGGCCATTATGGTTAATGGATCCTTCAAGTGTTTGGGAACTATTCAGCATCTCAAATACAAGTTGGTCATTTTACTTTATTATTTATTCATATAACAAAATACCTGATCTTCATTTTCCTCCTTTCCTATCCACCAATCTTTCAGTAACTATTTCACTAAAAGTGCCAGACTTTTTACACACTTTAGATTTGGCGATGGCTACGTGGTCACCATGAAGATCAGGGCGTCTAAGCCCGGTTGTGCCCCAGACTTGAACCCTGCTGAAGCATTCATGGAAAGTACCTTCCCTGGCTGCATCCAGAGAGAGAAGCACTACAACACGCTACAGTACAAGATCTCCTCATCCTCCCTGGCTAGGATCTTTCAGATGGTCCTGGCTAATAAGGAGAAACTCAAAATAGAGGACTACTCAGTGTCACAAACCACTCTCGACCAGGTAAATAGGTGCAGAAATGCACAACACAATGAATTATAAAATGGAAAAAAGATCTATTTCATTATGTTGCAAGACTTTGCACGTCGGTCATATTTTAACCTCCTTTTGCATTTTGTGCCTTGGCTCCTAATTTTATGGCGTATGTCAACCTGCTGCTTTAATCAAATCTTTGTTTTTGTTTCTTTGTCCCTGCAGGTGTTTGTGAATTTTGCCAAGCAGCAGTCAAGAGAGGATGAAAGTATTGTATTGCATCCAAAAGCTGCTGGAGCCCAGCGATATATTGATACCACACCCATCAAGTCTTTGGGGAGGTGAACTTAATTTAATGAGCTCAGCTGGAAGAGATCATTTTTATGTCATTGGCAGCCAGTGTTCAAAGTCCTATTGATGTGTGTACTTTGAGGGGACTGAAAGCTAGTCGGCATAATCGGGGCCACCTTTTGATTTGAGACAGTCTGCAGAAAAATCCCTCCCAACCCAACAGACACCAGTGACAGGCGCATCATTTTTTGGATGCCAACAGAGGATGAACTTTTGGTTTCCGACTTTTGCGGAAAAGAAGTCCTTTGTGTTTTAAATCCACGTTTGATGGAGTCTTTTGAATGTTGCAGTCGATCTGTTGCATCTTCTAACCTCACAGCGCAGCCTGTGAAGAAGTCGATCCCTTAAACTGATTTCACTCGTGGCAAAAGTGCATGCTGCTCGATTTTGCTTCTCCAGTAAACAATGTTAGCGGGCTTTGACTTTTTGGAAAATGTGGAGCATTTCTGTGCCTGCCTGCTATTTGTTCCACGTTCTGCTCACCTTTTAGGCCTTTAACAGAATCAGAATCAGAATCAGAATCAGAATGGGTTTATTGCCAGATGTTGAGGTTTACAACATTAGGAAATTGCTGCGGTGCTTCAGTGCAACTGAAATATGAAAAAAACAACCTGTAAAGAAAGGGTGTGTAAAGAAAGCATAGATTGTTTATATATATATTTTTGCTTCAGATGCCAAGCAAGATTCACTTTCACTGCCTTCTTTAGATATGTGGAGTAAGGGCTCAGAGAAGCAAAGGCTTAGCACCTTATTGATGCAGTATTACTCGAAGCATCATGAGATTTATTGGTGATCTGTGTAATACAGCTCATAATCATTACAAAATCCTTCTTGCGCTGTTAAATACATTTCATTAATATGATCTCTTCATGCCATTCATTTTTAATTTTTGCGCTTTGTCCTCATGATTTGTTTGCAGCACCTAGTGTCATTAGAAGATGATGACGTGTTTCTGTGAGGCAGAGTATAATAAATAATGAAGTGCGTTTTCTTTAAGATGTGGACCTTTATTCAGACCTTGCATTCACTTTTATAACCAAAAAAAGAACAGTTTTAACCTGAGATTAGGCAATATAGGCTTGAGAACTGCAGCGCTTATCACTGACTACCTGATAAAGTCTCTGTACATTAACGTCAGTACAGTTTGCACTTCTCTGGAGAAAACTATCTGAGATAAGCATTAGAAGGGCTTAACTTTAGCGTGATTAAACACCTGCTTTATCAGCGTTCCTCCTGAGAGCTTAAAAGTGATGTCGCACTCTTAAATGGATGCTGTGACATTTCAAATTTCTTCGTTTGCTTCCGCAGGCACTTTATGATGAGGATGAGGATGCTCAATTTCTTTCACTTACATGTAACTAGAAAACTTTCATCTCGTAATAAAAAGCAACAACGTATGCTAACAAACCAATATGCAGTCAGCACTCCTCGCTGGTTTCTCAAACACTCCTTAATATTCTGAAAGAATCAAACATAGAAAATCCAAATGTTAAAGCGTAGCTAATATGACAGGAGGAACTCTGAGTTTTATCACAATGCTAAATCAACCTCTGAGAAAGAAATCCAATCTTCTGTTGATATTAAACACTGCTATTATTGCTGACTTTAAAGGTTTTTTAAAGCCTTAAACACGTAAACAGCCACATTATTGCTCTGTTTCCTCCTAGTTCGGCTCATTCATTTGTAGACAAAATTGCATAGTAGCAGCAGCAGACTTCTTTGTTTCTTTGTATGAGGTTCATGCTTTAAGCCTTATCAAAGAATCAGAGGTATAATAGCCACTCGGAGACTGGGATAGTCCTTGAATTCCCTGATGTAGGCTCTGTGCTTTCCTTTGGCCCAGATGGTCATCTGAATAAACCCCAGTAATGTGTAAAATGCCACTGAAAGACAAAATATACAACATGTGGGGATAACCAAGAGGACTATGCAGGCTTTCTCATCAACCATACAGTTCCACAATGGATTATATTTATGGACATGCTCACTTGGTGACAGCAAAAGGTGAAAGGAAGCTCATACCTGGCAGACACTGGGTCATGATAGAAAAGCTCACCCAAGCTCCAACCTACAGTGTATGTCCAGTGTGCAAGCAGAAAGTGAGATTATGCTCAAGCATGAATGAAAATTTAATGCTAGATAAACCGTTCTGAATGCTGCGTGTTACCTCGTATGTGTAGTTTGGGCAGGATACAAAGAAGAAAAGCCAGGTGAAGGGGTTCTTATTTGGCATAGGAAATCTTCTACCCTTGGGTCCTGCAAAGATAATTCGTCCAGTGAACGGATTACATATGTATAATTTAATTTTACAGTATTTGAATTGATGGGTGACCCTGCTTCATCCATGAATGTTAACAAAGCTCAGCGACTCACCATCTCCCCTGAGCTTATTCAGAGTCAAGTGAATGGAGAAGTTGCCCATTTCACACATCTAGAGCAGAAATAAACAAATCAGGAGTCTGTATATGTGATATGCCATGTGTAATTATTAGTATACGTACCACAAATAGAATTAGTGCATAGTTGACTTGCAGTTCTCCGTATGCTGTGGAGAAAGACAGTTTGGCTTTGATATGATGAAAATACAGGAGAAAAACATGTTGTATGTGGCATACTCGGACTGACTTACATGGAGGCGTATAGAGAGGGTGGTTGATATAGTAAGCCAACCATGCTGAAAACCCCCAGTAATAGGCACAATTCTGAAAGACGAAATGAGCACATACATAAATACTTAATGTGAAAATGATCAGTGAAGTTCCAGTCCTCACAAAGATACTGTGTAGAGACTGCAAGTTGTATTCTGCATTGCCAAACGAAGCTTTGTTTAGCTTTATTATGACATTCATGAATTATAGTGCATTCAAGGACCTTGTGTGGATGGGCATTGGAAACTGGCAGTGGTACGTGCTACATGCTTGTAGCTATAAATAAACATTAAAACATGAAAAAACAAGAACTGGTGCAGGACAGTAAAAATGAGGCCACACACTGTGAAAGAGAGGAGCTTATTATCAGAGGCTCTCCTCTTTAACTTTAGACGTACCTCACCTTGACTATAGTCCTGAGAGGCATGGTCCCATGTGAGAAGCGGTGCACAAAGATTGTCTCTATCAGCCTCTTCGTGTAGTGGAAGGTATGACAGACGCAGGCCAGTCTGAGAGAGAGAGCCGAGGGATAAGACTGGCTTCTGGCAACAGGTCATTCTCTTGCATAGTACATGTATACGTATATATAATAGTTAGAATAGCATGTTTTCATCATAGAACAATTTTAATTTAGCCGTGGCCTGTCGTAATTTGTGCTGTAGTTGATATTTCATTTTCAACGTACGTGACAACAGGGTGGGGGCTGGAACTAAGTGCATATCTGTTTGAGTAAATGTAGGGTATTCGAAAATAGAAGAGGAGGTAGCTCAGAAGGGGCCCGATATACTCTGCAAGAAACACCTGAAAACAGAAGAAAAGATGACTTTCTTTTTTAATGTGTCACAGATTAAAAAAAACAACTGCCAATATGCCTGTTGAATTAATCGTACCATAGTCCAGCCTAATTGTGGACCAAGATCTTTGAAATACATGGTGGCAGTGGTTCCCACTGGTAGATTCTGTAAGATTTCATCATCTCTGAGTGATTTTCCCTCTGTATAAGAACAAAAACAACCTTTAGGCAAACAAATCCATCTGGAAAAATACCAACAAACATTTTTACTATTCAACAGAGATCATCGCCTCTAGAATGTGGGCTTGAGAAATGGACAAAACAGCAGAAATCTTCATAGTGACACAGGCAGCGCTGTGCAGAGTTTCAGGTTTTCAGCACACGTTCTCTCTACCTGCAAGCTCCAGGGGGCACGGCCACAGATAATTTGCTCTACTAATTGGGCAGCATTTTTAGAATATCCTGAGGGGCAACTGACCCAAATAGATTTGAACCAAAGTTCTCTTGTCTAATTCTTAGCAGCCAGGTAGATCCCAGATATTCAAGACTAAAGCCTTCCAACATCATACATCAGGTTAGGCTGTATTTGCCTTTACAGCTTTAATTTGGGCTGAAATGGATGGAGCAGTGATGCATATTAAATGGTCTTTAAAACAATAAAGGAGAAATGGACAAAAGATTTCATAGTGGAAGCAGCACGCTGAAATGTATTAATGGTTCACTGCTCACTGAAGTACAGGATGGGTGTAAAGATAAATATGCCAGAACTTATTGGATAAACTTTTATCAATAGCAAATGATCCTATATTCAACCAAGGATATTTTTAGGGTTAGGAAGTGGCATATCAGAATCAGAATCAGAAAGGGGTTTATTGCCAAATGTTGAGCAGGTTTACAACATTAGGAAATTGCTGCGGTGCTTCAGTGCAAACATAGTGTCATAAATAGCACTTAAATAGACATGAAAAAATAAAAGTAGGGATAAGAATTAAAAGTGCTACGTAGAAAGATATGTGCATGAGATATACATGAGATATATACATGAGAATAAGAATTAAGAGTGCTACGTTGAAAGATATATACATGAGTGCAGGTGGTGATCAGTGCCAAACATGGAATGATGCAGTGACACAGCGTAGGGTCATGTGTTAGTGGCGGGGACAGTCATATGGTTATTGTTCATGTGTCCAACAGCAGAGGGGAAGAAACTGTTCTTATGGCGAGAGGTTCTGGTGCGAATGGACCGGAGCCTCCTGCCTGAGGGGAGCAGGGGAGCAGGTCAAACAGATATCATCAGTTTTCTGCATTAGTCTGTTTGATTAATCAAATTTTTTGCTTGACAAACACTAGACAGCGTGCACCTGCAGAGGTTTAGTTTGTATTTATTTCATTTACATCAGGTTAGATTCAATGGTGAATCTGAATTAGCCATAAGTGTGGCTGAAAGAGCACAGCATAGAGCGCAGCATAAAGTGCTGTGTGAAAAAACTGAATGTGGCTTGTAGTGTAAAGCACTTTGAGTGGTCAGCAACACTACAAAAGTGCTTTGGGGACTGAAGATGTGTGATCCTCTTTATGCATTCTGGATGCATCCAACTGTAGGTTATCACAAACCTTTTACCTCTGACCTCTTTCTGATGGACTTTAGCTCTCCATCAAGTCAGGAGCACACCTGAAAATACTGAACTGACAGCACCAAAGATACATTTAGAAGTCAGGTGTAGGCTTACTTTCAGAACTGTAACTAGGAACTGTGTTCCTCACACGTACTTTTCTTTCTATACTAACATAAACCTTCTCTGCCATGGAGGTGATGTTTTTGGTAGTGATTATGTGGGTGTGATTCTGTCTGCAAACATGATAGCTCAAAAAGGTTTCAATTAATGTGTGTGGGGTAGCATAACATAAGCAGCATGGAAAGTGATAGGAAGACGGCATCTGCAGACTGTTCAAGCTTCTTTTAAGTGTTCTTAATTTCCCCCCTCCCACATACCTGTTTTACACATAGGACCTGCACAAAGGAACACACAAGTATAACCAAACTACATAAACAAATGAAAGATTCAAATCAACTAATGATGAAGTGACATTTAGCTTTGAGAACATTTGCACTGCTGTAATGAGTATAACCAATACTACCACAAACAGACCCGGGATAGTATGCAGAGGTGAGGTTACATGCGCTGTGTTTACATTAAAGCATTATGATTAGATAACAGAACACAAAATAACAATATATGCAAGTAACAAATGGTAAATGAATTCAGTCCTAGCCACTTTGTCACAATGTGATAAAACTTTTTACTGGTGTAGAGCGGGGTCGTATTAACAATCCACTAAAATGTATCTTATATCCAATGAGGTCATCTGAAGTCTTCATGGTCAACTTAATGACTAATTAGTCAGGAAAGTGACAAAAAACCATAGAACTTATGCCTTTTCCTTAAAAAATGCTTTTGCCTTTGTTTGTACTGAAAACATTTAGAACATCATATCAATGTGGGGGATTCTAAATATCACATTATAATTTGGATCTAAATATTATTCACATTTGACCTCTGACCTCACTTTTACGTTTCAAGTCTGCCTATCTGTCAAGTTGACCTCCAAATGTGTTACATTTTTAATGAAAGTATAATATTATACAGTAAGCTTGAGTTATTCATGTCCAGTTATTTACAAATCAATACTTGTAAATAAAGTAAATATCTGCTATGCTTCCCTTATCTGATTTTTATTGCACTACAAACTTCTTAAATATATATTTTTTAAAAAAAATCAAAGAAACCAAAGTATTATATACAAAATTATTCCCTTAAAAGTAAGTAGCGCCCACAGAGTGAGCTTCTTTGGAAGATGTTTGTGCTCTCACAGTGCTTCTTGTTTAAAGCTTTGACTTTATTGTGGCATCCAATTTTGCATGTGTATCTAAAAGTTTATGGCCTGGAAAGTACAACACAATCTCAGACCAAACATTTCTACGTTCCAGTTTTTGTTGATTTATTGCAAAACCCAAATTCACAGCTTGATTCAAATGTACTGAGCTAGACATACAGTATTTAAGTCCCACCCCAGTTTTGTAAGTGTAGCATTGCAAAACAGCAGTACCTGAGGTGATGGATACAGACCAATACAGATGTATCTATGAATAAATGAGTTTTAACTAAAATCAAGAGTATTTGTAGAGATGTTGGCCTTTACGACGAAAAAAGATCTCATACTTATCTATACGGGTACTTGTGGGTAATGATGTCCAAATATTTTAGACAGTTTGAAACTTGAACTGAGTAACCAGTCTTGACACTTTGGGGCCACATTGCCTTCTGTAGTGTTTAATGCTATAAAACACACACACACACACACACACACACACACACACACACACACACACACACACACACACACACACACACACACACACACACTAAATGCTAGATTTACAACACAGCCACTTACTTGGATCAAGCTTCAGGGCCTGTCTTGCTGGATACCAGTGAGGATCTGTGCCGATCAAACGAGCACGTATGCACACACAAACACAGTCGCAGTGTTGGACATAGCTGGTACCGCACACACAGTTTTTTGGCCTCAGGCCCAAAAATAATTGATCACAATGGAATAACGTTGAGCTCTGCTACTCTGATAGATGCCGATGGCCTTGGGCTCAGCAGACATTTGGTAACGTTTCTGACCAGACACATGCTGATGACAGAAGCACTGTGGGCTTCAGAGAAGTAAATAAAAAATTGTTTTTTAGAAGGACAGCTCTCTGGTGAAGAGATTTAATAGGAGGAACTGTAAGATTTTTCATTCAGAGATAGTGTAATAATGTTTTTTTATCCAATAACCACAAGTTGAAGGATTTGTTTACAGTAAACATGCAGTGAAAGATAATAAAGAACTAGGAGCACTGATCTTCTGTGTTTTATTGAATTATAGTATAACTCAAGTCTTGTTCTATTTATTGACAGGGTTCTAGGTAACAGCAAGACTAACAAAATTACAGCCACATGTGCTTCTAACAAATCTAAACAGGCTCATTTGTGCGCTACATTACTATTATAGGCACTCACATGATTTGTGAAAAAGGCTCTTTATGTCTCCTACTGTCGAGTGGGGCTCCACCTTAATGCAACAGAAAGTTTACAGTCAGTATAAACTCAGCTTTATGTCAGACTCAAGCACTAAATACAAAGCACTGTGTCAATGAGATTGAAAAGTCATTTTCATGTCCTTATTTATTCATAATTATAAACTTAAGACGTATCCTGGGGGCCTTTGAATTGTGTTAAAATGTCAGCATACCTTGTCTAGAAAACAAAGCTGCTCCCTTGTCTTGGCATCAAGAACTTCCACCTGAAGAAAGAAAATGAGGCACCTTTATAATGTATATAACCCACAGAGTAAAAGCCAGATTTAAGATTTCTTTTCAGCTTTGTTGATCACAGTAGCACAAGATTAAACTCTATTGCTACTTTTAGTTATGTATTGCTTTCTTGCAGCTGTAAGGTAGACATTGTTGCACATGTAATCATCACTGTAAAAACACAATTTGAATAAAATATAAACGCCTCAAATAAAATGTGGTCACGTCTGCTCCTAAAATACCTACTGCAAAGTGTGTCCATTTGTCCTTAGTGATATGCTTTCTTGCACACATTTGTTTTCATCTTAATTAGACCATGTCAGCGGTGATGTATAGCATATGCAAGGAGGGTGGGTGGGCCCACAATTTGCTCTGAAAGCACTCCATACTGTGCTGCTCAGCAGAGCTGTCCTAGCTAAATAGGTTCCTTTACTGGACAGTGTAATAACCCGCTAATGGGTATCTGAAGATTTGCTGAGTGCACAGTCACAACAGAGGGAATGAGGATGAGGAAAAGCTCAACATAAAAGCCATCAGCCTCTTTGGATAGAGTGAATGAAGTTTTATAGGACATTTAATTCATACAGGGGTTTAAGTAAAAAGTTTAGCTGCAAATCTCAGTGTTCCATATATAAAATGATTATTTCACCCTTTCACTCTTTGCGATGTGTGAGGATGCTTGCGGGATCTGGAATCAAATCATGCTCATGTCTCAGCAAAGCGCATCGTGGGAGATGGGATTGTTTTGCTTTCCATCTGCCAGCTTTCCCAGCTGCATTCTGGTGGCACACGCTGATGTATTAGCATGCTGGTAAAGAGCATCACGGTGTCGTTGGGCTGCACACTGTGCACTCAGATGTGCCATGGCTTTGTAAAACCGATCATTAGGATTTCCTGTCCTCCTGTGCAGGCGGCAGTGCTGACAGCACAGGTTGTACAGAACATGCACATGCTTGCAGAGGCCTTGGGGATGCAGGGGAAATTTAAGTAAATGTTTAAATAAACACTTATTTTATGTTTGCTGGGTAAAATCTGAGAAACTGAGCTTGCCAGCTTTTTAATTTAAAAAAAACAAACACATATTGTCTTTGGACTAATATAACTAACTGATAAAACTGGAGAAAACTCTCATCCATAATCTTCTTCGTCTTCTAGCTGTTCCCTTTAGGGGTCCCCACACCTGCTCATCTCCACCCTACCCTCCTCCATCTGCTCTGCTACATCCAGCTCTCTGCATGTCTTCCTTCATCCCTGAATCTGCACAGCAAAATCTCCAGTGTTAAATTAACACTAGAGAGTGTCTATATGGGTCCACACCTCTGAGTGTTAAATACAACACTGTTGAGTGTTAAATTAACACTTTTGACAGTGTTATATGTTTAAAAGTAACCTAGTCAGTTTTGAAGATTAACAATGGCTAACACTGAGCAGTGCTGATTTTCTAACACTGGAAAATAACTCAAAATGTTAGAAATATTCCAGTGTTAGCAAAACAGCACTGCTCAGTGTTAGCCATTGTTAATCTTCAAAACTGACTAGGTTACTTTTAAACATATAACACTGTCAAAAGTGTTAATTTAACACTCAACAGTGTTGTATTTAACACTCAGAGGTGTGGACCCATATAGACACTCTCTAGTGTTAATTTAACACTGGAGATTTTGCTGTGTGTGGTCTTCCTCTTTTCCTCCTGCCTCGCAGCTCCATATTCAACACCCTTTGTCAAGTATATCCATTGTCCCTCCTCTGCATGTCCTTCTCTAACTTTGTTTCCAAACCGCTCAGCCTGAGCTGTCATGCTAATATTTTCCTTTCTAATCACAAATCTAATCATCTCTGGCACTTCCAACTTGGCCTCCTTTCTTTTTATTAGTGCTGCCATCTCCAAACAATATATCATAACAGGTTTCACCAGCATCTTTATACCTTCCCTTTCACTCTTGCTGCCATCCTTCTGCTACAAATCACTCCTCATACTTGTCACCACCCGCTCCACCTCACCTGCACGGTCTCCTTCACCTCTCATGTGCACTGTCTGTTGTTTTGGATGGCTGGTATTTAAACTCATTAACCTTTCACCACCTCTACTCTTCATAGCTTCACTGTTCAGTTTAGTTCAATTCAGTTTTATTTATATAGCACCAGTTCAACAAATCCCCTCAAGGCTACTGTTGTTGTGAGCTGTCTTCCTGCCATTCAAAAACATGTATTCTGTCTTGCTTCTACTGACTTTAATTCCTCATCTCTTCAGTGTATACCTCCACCTCTTCAGACACGTTTCCACCTGCCTCACAATCTCACTACAGATCAAAATGTGACCGGCAGACATCACAGTCCACAGACTCCTGCCTGACCTCATCTGTCAGCCTGTCCGTCACCAGTGCAAACAAGAAGGGGCTCAGAGCCAGTTTCACTTTGAACCCATCTGTCACTCCTAGCGCACACCTCGACACTATCTCGCTGTCTTCATAAATGTCCTGCATGACCCTCACATACTTTTAATTTTTTTAAGTTTTATAAGATAGACAGACTATCTAGACAGTTTCTCTTTCAGTCAAGGACAGTAATTCACCTCTTAGTTTGTCTTAAATTTTTCACGTGTGTCTGACCCTGTACACTACACACAAATAGACACAAATTACAGTCCACTACTTAAATGGCTGTTTCATGAAGTTGAAAATGACGTTTCCTAAGTGAAGGATGAAGTACGTCTGAAAAGCCTCCAAGGCATCAAGGTAAAGATACTCTCTTAAATATTGTAGTGCCAATCTAATGGCAGCCTGAAGTTAAAGGAAAGTTAAACATTACGGCAAATGTGCCTCCATCCTGCAAAACCTCCTTTTTTCTTATATATCAGAAGTAGAGGATCAGTACCATTTTTAAAACTGTCCAGTCAGTGTGAAGGTGGATTTTCTGGCTGTCTTACTGTAAAGACTGGAAGCTTAACTATTTCCATATTTTCCACTGTGACTCAGTTTTTTCAATAACAGCTTCTGAGAGCATGGCACACTTCCCAGAGCATGTTGTAATTAGCTCGAGTTCATAGGCCTGCTGCACTTACAGCAAATTACTTGTCTGCTTCTTCATTAAAGCTTGTCAGGCCCTTAAGCCAAAACTGAAGGCTACAGAAAAATCATAGAAACACCACCAGCTTTGAGCTTATCTGGACAATAAACTTGGACTTTATAAACTTTCCGATCCCTTTAGAACAACATGTAATATTTTCAGCCTTGTTAAGTTTTCCCCAAATTTGGCTGCACCTCTTATCACTCTGTAGAGTCCTTTGGTCAAGTGCCTTTCAGTAACTCACTCTATCAGGAAGTGGCAGTTGCCCGTGTCATTTATTCAAGTAGCAGTAAAACTGTGCATTGGCTTACCTCAAAGAAGGTGGTCCGGCTCATGGCGGTGGCTTATTTTTGATATGTCCTCTGTGCACACGGTGAAAGAATGGCCTTAACTATTAGTATGCGCAAACAAAACACATGCACAGATCCCTCTCACACATGCAGGAATTGCTCCTCTCCTTTCAAAGACAAACCCTGTACTGACCCTTATTCTTCCGAGTCTTCACCACGCTCTCCCTCTCTGTCTCTCTCACCCTTCCTCTCTTTATCCGTGATAGTGCTGGGAACACAGAATCACTAGAGGCACTGTAGAGATCCTGCTCGTGGTCTTACTCTTGATTTTCTTTTCTCCAACTTCCTCCTCCCCCCACCTCCCTCTGTCTCTCACTCTGTTTTTTCCCTGTTTGTTAAAGTATCTTTGGAGAACACTCTTGGCTCATAAGTCTGTGTTGGCTCATGTGGCCACTGGAAACTGAGACGCTCAAGGAGTGGAGTATGCACAAGAACAGTAGTGTTTCAAAAATACACAAGATGGCACAAAACGGTCTGCTGCAGTGGCTAAGAGTGCAGAAATGGAAGAGCAAGAAATAACTATAACTCCCTTGTGAAAAGAAATACTGATGAAAAATGTCAGTTCATTTGAGATATTTGAGACTTCATTAATCTAAATGTAAGTCTTAAAATGCAATATTGAGCTGTGCCACAAGAAGAGGACAAAAGTAGATTATTATGGAGTCACACTGTAATCACTTTTAATTGAGTGCATGTAGTTCACACATTCTGGTGAAAAACTGTCTTCAGCGTGAAGTCATCCTCACAGTTGAATCCTGTCAGAGTGAAACCTTTAACACTTTGAAAGTGTTTTGTTGTTTCCAAAAGTATCTTTGAATTCTAAGGTCTCTCCACCTGAATATTTTGTGAGGTTTTACTTTATGGTTTCTTATAAAGCGTTACATTCTTTCTGGTAACACCTGCAATGAAAAGAATCCAAATTGAATATGACTAAAAGAAGTTTGTCGCAATAGCAACAACAAATTTTTACAAGGATAAAAGATGTTTTCACAGAATATATGCACAACACATATGCTACGTTTACACAACTGAGGTCCATAATAAATGAATGGACTGGTGCTTCCATAGTGTTTTCCTATACTAACTTTTTTCTACACTTAAGCACTTTGTCTATCATTCACACGGACAATAACAGTCATTGGGACAACTTGGAGTACAGTATCTTGCCCAAAGATGCAGACTGTCTTTTGGGTTCACTTACCCCTCCTGCACAGCCTTGGTGAGACATTTTGAGTTTGCATTGCCTGCTTAGTAAGTTTTTTTCTAACCTGCTTTTTTTTTTTAGTAGTTTTTCCACATGCACTTACTCAGCATTTTCTCCAGTTGTCCCCTTCAAAGGTAGATTCAGACACAAAAAACAAGTTGAGAACATCTCCTCACTTCTGTTGTTGTGATACTTGAGGGGGATTTGGTTTGTGGGATTGAAAGGCTATTGGATGCTAAACCAGACTCTAAAGGCCTCAGTCAAAATGATTATTCACTGTACAGTATAAGACTTGGTATCTGTATTTGTATTTGTACAGCCTCTTACTCCCTGAGCAGGTATACAGAAATGAATAACCTTTGTAATTTGATAATACCACGTGGCACATATGTTATTTAACTTTTTGTAACTATATTAATCATAAATCTAGGATGTTTCACAGATCCAAAATCAATCAGTGTTGTCAAATTAAAACTCATATACCTATATCCGTGGACATAAAGGTTCAGTAGCTATCAGCACTGTTTTCATCTTCTTGCTTTCTCCTTGATGCCGTGCTTCACTGAAAGTTTCAAATATCTAGAATGAAAATCTTTCTTAATCAAAGAAAGTGGAAGATTTTTTTCAGGCATCAACTTTCCTTAAATTATCTCGATAGTCTTAGATTATTTTTTTAAAGAACGCTCGAGCAACTTCCAAAGGAATGATGGATTCAGTCTATGCAGTGGTGTGCTGTTTGATTTTATTTGATGTGCTCATCACTTAAAAACATACACCAGCACTTTTTTTCAGGAATGTTCCCACTGATTGACTGCAAACTACTGATACTAATTACAGTTAATAAAAGGTTAACCAAGGTCAAGTATCACACTAACATGTAAAGCTGAATATATGTGCCAGGTGCTACTTGTACAGTAGTAGATACCTTATTAGAAAAATAACACATGACAACTTGAGGAATAATGTTTTAGGGAATTATATTGAACAGACTCCCACTTTGAGTTCCTTATACCATGTAGGATGAGACTGTCCTCTGCTGGTCAGTGTGGTCAGTATTTCTTGGTGACCCTACTGTGGCTGTTTATCTAGTTCTGCATGCTCCACAATCCCCAGCTGTTTTTGGACCACACATTAAACTTTAGATGCTAAACTGATGGCCAGTTAACAGGTTAGAGTTTGGTAGATACTTTCAAGGCAAACACATAATCTATCTTTATAAAAAACGCGCTCGGGATCATGTATTTTGCAATTCGCTAAAGGGGGAAATTATTAGAATTTGTTGTGACTTAATTATAGTGTAATATGCTTATCTTGGAGTTTAATGGGCAGTTTCGGATTCGCTGTTTAAAGCTTATTCATGGTAGCTGACTCCTATGTTAAAAAAAAAAATTCCAAGTCTACATCAGGTCCTGTCGCCTGCTGATCCCATGGGCCATTATTGATTTTTCCATCAGGCTGCGTCACCCTCTAACCTCCGAGAGCTCCGGCTCATTGTAGTTTGGGGCTCTTTTTTTTGTCGGGATGTGGAGTTTAGTAGGAAATGAGCTAGAGGCTATAGCTAAATGTAATCAGCTCACTGCTGGGTGAGGGGGTGTGATGGTGGCTGGCAGGATGTCTCCTTCACTTTCTCTGTCGAGACCTGAGGCGGCGACCCTCTGCAAGAAGACATCGTGTGTCCACGCAGTGCATGCACATGCATACCGCCAAGTCTATGACGTTTAATGCTGAAAAGAGAAAGCTTATCTGAGGCATAATATTGGACGTTTAGAGATTTGATAAGCCAGAGTGTCTCTCTCTATTGCTTTTTCCTAACAACAATCAAAATACTGTTTATTGTAGTGTTAAATTAGTACATGAGGTTCTTTTTCAATGTACATGAGATAAACTATTAATATCCTAACCCTGGCATGTTAGTGCTTGATGCCTCTAGCAGGAAATATTATAATGAATCTTTAATGCAGACCTAAAACTGTTATACCATCTTGGTGTTTTTGCATCATGGTTCATACATGAAATATCCTCATGAACCGCATGTCCCTTTTTGCAAAGTAACAGCGGAATAAAAACAAAACACTTCAGACGAGAGAAAAAGTCAGAGGACCCCTTCTTAGACTTCCACATATTTGCAGGAAACATTAACTATTCGGAACAGTTCTCCGCCCCCTACCTGAACTGAAGTCATCTATTTAGTGTTAGAGAAAGGTTGGAGGCCTGCAGCACTTCTCCCACCTGGCTCTCATGAGAGCCTCTTATGCTAGTGCTTCAAGGGTTACTGAGGCATGGGCTGGAATTCAAATAAGCATCTGGCATGTCTGATATATAGGGGTTTACTTTGCTTTAAACTGATGCATGCTAAAATTCATTTATTTATTAAATCTATAGCAGATACACTCTTGCAACCACCTCTTCACACTTCAGTGTGGCTGCTGCAAATTGTAATCTATAAACTAATCTACAGTTTAAAGGCAATATATTAGTTTATTAAGGTCTGCTGCACATTATTTGATCTTGTTCTCCAGTGAAACCGGTGTATCTCCAATAGGGGGAGATAGTGGCCTACCACTGGGTAGTACAGGTATCCTGCAGAATCAGTTTTTGAATGAAGCCAGGATCTCTTAAATTCTTAAACCACCTTCTTTCATGTGTCTCTGTTTGATCGTCTTTCTTAGATTCCGGTCTGTGTTGAGGAATCTAACTCATATGGGAGACTACTCAGCCAACCTATTGTTCCTCTTGATGTCTGAGAAGAGAAGTTCTGCTGGAGGTGGAAGTAAATCTTATAAAACTTAAAAAAAAAATACAGACTAATTACATTTAACTTCCAGCGAGTTATATGAAGTTTGTCAACTTTAAAATTAAACCT